AGTTTTTAATCAGTTTTGAATTTTTTTTAATTTTTATTATTCTATTGGGTCTGAGACTGCATAATAAAGATTGATTGATTGAATGACTGATTGACTTACAGCTTCAACTTATGAAAAAATATGGGCAAGATGATTTAGTTGATCACAGGATGGGGGCTGGAGTATATACTGTTTGACAGCATTGTTGTTGTTTCAATTCAGTTTTGCTACAGAAGATTTGTTTTCCTGTCATAGTGATACACTGACTATGTTGCTTTCTCTAAATCCTAACATGAAAGGCAATGTTCCTAAGTAAGCTGGTAGGATGTAAAACTACCCGATACTACATTAACCCCATAATTTGCTAGGTAAACATTGATTTCAGAGACCCATTCCAATTCTGATTGGAACAGTATGGATGCTTTGGGAAGTGGCTAAAGCATATTGGAACTTGTGCAACTGCAAAATTTAAATTATTTTCATCTGTTTGAATAAAAAGTGTTTGGGACTGCTGAGGTCTGAGTTCAAAGAATAATTGTGGTTTGCCAAGGCAAGAAGAAGGTAATTAAAACAATGTTTATATATACACTGAAAGCTTCAAAACTGTTAAGACTTGAAAGGTATTTTTTTAACCAAATGGGAATGAAAGTGAAAAGTAACCCCAAGAATTTATCACTGAGAGCTTTGTGGAATCATCTTAACAGCATTTCTATGGCATATATCAAGTATTCAAAGGCGCTTATAAGCATTATCTCAAGATTTCTTGCAACAGACTGGAAAAGCAGGGTAGCATCATATTGCAAATAAGGCCTGAGGCTGAAAGACTAAGCTTTTGCCCAGTGCCAATAGTGAATTTGCATCTGAGATGAGAATCGAATTGGGGATTTCCTGGTCACACCCCTAGCTGAGACGCTGCACCACTTCTCTGCTTTGCTTTATACAACAAATATGGATGGAATAACACCATCAACATGTGCAGAACTTGTAAGCCAAGTTCTTTTTGGACATACCAAGATCCTAAGAACAGAATAATAATTATAATTGCAATAAGTTGCATATTATTTGGAAAGGAAATATCAATCAGATCTGGGCAGCTCTTTCTGCAGTGTCAACTGCATGCTGCTAGAAAAGCTTGCCGTAACTGTGTAAGCCTATGTAAAAGACTTTGAAATATAAATCCTGCAGAAAATCTATCAGTAAATGATGCCATTAGTACAGTCTTATTTCTGACTGAAACTATCTACTGCCTGGCACCTTTTCCACCTTTCCCAAGGTAAGAAAAGGGGCAACTGACAAGAGCGGGTTAAATTCATTTTTTGATTTTTCAAAAGTGGCTGGGTACCTATCTTTTTGAGCCCAGCATTCTGAATACTCAGCCTTTCTCTAACAGTAATTTCCCTTTGGCTTTTTCACTTCAATCCTATGACTGTCTATTCAAAAATAAATTTTGTTGAGTTTAATGAGACTTACTCCCAGGTAGGTGCATATAGGATTGCAGCCTTAGACAGCTCTTGACACTTGAATAGTTCATATGGGTAAGAAAATGTCTGTTTATTCCTCATAATGCCGCCTTCTCCTATATGCTCAATTCTGCAAATAACAAGGATTTCCCTAAGTATTCAAGATACCTTTTCACATTTTACTTCACATAAATATACTCAGTGCATGTGCAACTTTGATAAAATATACTGAACTTTTGCTTACCCAGATATTTCAAGGAAATATCATTTAGCATATAAAATGGCATTTCTGACCTTGGAGGCACTAGTATAATTTGGAATTCAGCCTATTTACTTCAGCAAAGTTAGCTTACATAAAAGCATCATTAAAATATAGACCAATGTGTTTATTTTAATGCATTAGCTATCATTTCATTTACATCATGTCGGTCTTAGAAAAACATTCTTTAGAGAGGTGTTTTCACCCTTATCCTGATAGATGATAGTGGTCCTTTGGATGTTGTTTTGGTTCTTCTATGAAGAACTATATCGTTAAATGTTTGTTTTTTACTCTGTTAATTCAGTGTGCTTCTTTTCTGCATAAAACATCTCTGTCTAAACTCTTGGCATATTCTCCTAGCTCTTGAGAAAAACAGCCCAAGTGTTAAAAGAAGGTTTCCTTATAGATTTGGAAAAGTTTTCTCTATGTGCTCTGTGGAAAAATGTTCATATATACTCTTCAGAGTTTATTTTGTGGTAGGATTAGCAGGAGAATAATTTAGGAACCACCTTCTCTTTTATCTCCATAGATTCTGTTTTCTTTTGGGGTCCATACACCATTTCATGTGATTAGGACTACAATCCTCTACCTGGGAGTTAGCCCCATAGAACTAAGTGGACTTAAATCTGAGTATGTGTAACACACACACACACACACACACACACAGAGAGAGAGAGAGAGAGAGAGAGAGAGAGAGAGAGAGAGAGAGAGAGAGAGAGAGAGAGACTATTCATCACCCTCTTGGAGGCTGTAGACCACAGTTCACTGGGAACAATCTTATAAAAGTGGATTAAGTCTTAGTGACAGGATAAGGTTCACATTCTTACTGGGACCAAGAAAAATGTACTTGTGCCTTGCAACCTAAAATACCTGCCTAGGGATATGCGAATCAGTCTGTTTCTAGTCTATATTCTTCTGTCATATATTCATGCATAAATCCATACTGTCACACTTCCAAATTAATCTGTAATTTAAAAAAAACCTCTGAATAGACACTTGCATTTAAATATGTATTTTCACTGCATTTCTTCTCAAAATATGCAGGACTGAAAAGACATTCTCTCCAATATGCATTTTAAAATATACTTTGATACATCTTTTAGTTGAAAACATCATAGGAACATTTGGGAACTATGAAAGCCAGCAGTTAAATAAGTTCAGATCAGATTTTTTACTAAATATTTGTTGTACTGCTTCAGTTCTTCGTTCTCCCACCCCAGTTTGCTGAGATCTTTCTTTAGCACCAATAATTCCATTTTGGCCACGTAAATACTCACCTGTAGATTGTGGAAATATAAGGAATAACTGAATTATTTAAGCATTTCTTTAACTGCTGTGTGTCTGTCAAGCAGCACTCTTTGCTCATCCACCTGTTCCCTTTGTATGTCTGCAATTGCAAAGAGTACAGATTGGATGCAAAGATGCAATTTCCAGGAATAATAGTGACCAAACACAAACATTGATCATATCAATTAGTTTTTGTTTGTCATGGGTTGAATACCGCGTCCAACATTAGATCATTCGTAATGTGGCATGCTAACAATTTAAATTATCAATTAAGAATATAAAGATAGTTTAAATGCCCCCTCCTACAAAAAAGGGAATGAAATCATAAGAACCCTTACTGGCCAGCATCCCACAGGACTTGCAGGAAGGACTGCTCATGCCACTGGGCTTTTAGACTTATAAAAATAACTCCAGATAAATGGAAATGCTCATTCTGAAATAGAGCAGGTAAGCAGAACTTGTGGAAGGCTGTCCTAATCTGGAAAGGCCCATTGTACAGGTGGTTGCTTGCAGAAGCAACCTGAAGTTTAAACCATTTGCTATTTGTGCACCACTTTTAAGGTTCAGATACACTTGAATGAGATCATGCTGTAAAGGCTACTTTTATTCATTCCCTAATTTGTGTCATTCTACTATGCTCACAAAGATGGTATCTTCCGCTTTAATATAGTTTCGTTTCTTATGTAAGAGCGATTCTTCCTATTGTCTGTCTGTCCAAATCACAAACTGGGAAAAGTTCTGGCATCAGTAAAGCCCTGGACTTTACAATACTCAAGTTTAAGCCTTTTTACAGGTTTTTTCCTTTGTGCCTTTCAATGTCTTGAAAGTCCTTTTCATTTCTATCCTTGTAATGACTAATTAAGATCTTGATAGTTATTGATTTATCTACCATAACACTCCTGCTTAAATAAACGTTTTAATAAAGACATTTGTTTGGACCATATGCTGAAACATTTAAATTAGACAGTTTCTGTATGCCACCCTGGGCAATTTGTTGAAGAGTGGGGTTAAAATAAATACATAAATAAGAAATAGGGGACAGGAGTCTGGATACACCAAACTGACTGGGCTGTGGCAGTTGTAATCCAACACATTCCAAGGGTGCCAGGTAAGCAAAGGCTGAAAGAAGGTCATACGCTCTTGCTTACACTAACCCTGTTCATGTGTACAAGGCATAAAAGGGGGGTTGAAGGGATTAAGAGTCAGAACAGTGCATCTTTGGGTCTGGAACAGCACTAGCATGCACCCCCCTGAGGTGTCATTTAATTCCTTAGACATTAACCTGAACTTATAGGAAGAAGCCTAGGACACACTCTTTAAAACACAAGAAAACCTGGAATATCCTTCCCCAACTGACAGCCTCCAGATGTTATTGAGTACCACCCTCATCTTCCCCTAGCAGAATTGCTATGCTAGAGTTGATGCAATTTGAGGTCTAACCCATCTAGAGACCCCTGTTTGGGAATGGCTGACCTACCAAGCCATCCAAAGCTATTGCTAACCAAACCTTTCTTGTTTCCAGATTCTAATGTAAATTCAGGAGAACTCATACACAAAGCTTAATAAATGTTTGCTTATGATATTGTACCTCATTCCAGACAAATACTTTTGATATTTTTGTCAACTGTTTTTGTTGATGAGTTTCTTTGAAGCAGCCAGTCACCCACATTTTTGGACACGTGCCGCAGTACTCAGTTCTGTATGGAAGCTTTCATTATTGTGTATTTGTGTGTACAAAATCCAGTATTATGGTAAGTAGGTGGTTGCTGATTTACCAGCATGCCATTCTGGATCAATCCTTTATGAATTGTTTTTAAGCACCAAAGTGGACAATGAAAGCTTTTATAGCAGCTGGCCAATTAGCTGTAATCATTCTTGTTAAACTTTTCTAAAATACTAGAGTATGTGATGAATGTAAAGTATTCGTTTCTTTTTTCTCCAACCCATTTGCTGCATTCAAGTCTGTCTTGTAAAATAGCCTTTAAACGCTTTGCACTTTTATGTTCTCTTTGCAGATTGAGAATGTTGATGCCTGCCTCAGCTTTCTCGCAGCCAGAGGAGTAAATGTCCAAGGTCTTTCTGCAGAAGGTAAGAAAAACACTCCATCAGCAGAGTTGGTTCCTGAAAAGTACTAATTGCACTTTCTTTGAAAAATACCATATTGGAAAAGGTATTTGTTATTGATCAAATACATCATTTTGTTTCAACTTCCTTGGTATAAATTATAACTATACACGAAAATGGATATTTCTCATGAGAAAATAGCCCATTTATTTAAAATTAGCATTTTACCCTTGTGCACATGCTCTCAATTTCCTCTTTTTGCTAAAGATATATGTAGCTTCAAGTATGCTTCCCACAAACACATCTCTAGAAAATGAGTGAGTGTGACTTATAGGGCAGATCACTGAAACAGGGCACAGTTGAGAGCTCACATCAGTAAAGCTCCTTTTAGCAAAATTAATTGAATGGCTGTGTATTGTGTTTGCAGACTGGACTATAAATTATATACAGATGACAGAATGGATTTGCAAGCATATGATTCAGAATGTTGAGTTTGCTGTGACTGTTTGTATGAGCCATTGACTGATGTTTTCAGAACATTAGTATATATTCAAAATGACAATTATTTTCCAGGTAGGAGTGTAATATACATTTGTTAACTTTGTCTATGGTGTGGTATAAATGAAATAAATAAAATGTTGTTTGTAAATAATATATATCGCATTATATTGCACCTTTCCAAGTAACTCTAAACTGGCACTATAGTCAATACCTATTAACATTATATAGCTGTTGAGCCCACTGCCTTGTCTTTGGCAGGGGTTGAGATTTTTCAGTACTTTAGCTTTCATATGGTGCTGCCATTTGTGTATATGCACTGAGGTCAGAAATTATTCTTTTAGCAGATATGGCTGAAGTACTAAGTTCTGGATTACAGTGTCTTTTTAACAGTAAATGTATGATGCAATTGTCACAATTATGGCACATTTCTACAAAATTAGCAGTTCCCATCTCTTGAGGCATTTCAAGTAATTAATTTTTGACAGATAAACAAGCAACACAAAACTGCAAACAGTAAAAAATGTTTTATCACATGTACCTAAAAGGTACAGTTAATTTCAGTAGGGACTATTTGTAAATATTATCATTTCCTCCTGCTCACACCAGTCAATATAGATTTATTTCACAATCCTGGAAGAGTATATTACACTTCTTATATGCCTTTCAAATTTATTTTTAACCTCTAGAACATATGCAATTTTTAGATCTTCCAAGCCCACATACTGATCCAGGCTGAATCATTCTGAAGGACTAGGCTAAAATGGGGTAGAAAAAAATTAAATATATTGCAAAGTATTTTATAACGTTGAAAAATGGTATATCTCTAATTTTTCCCCAGTTTCATCGATATACAATATTAATGCCCCAATTTTCCCTATAGTATAATTGATAAAAAATGGTACAATAGTTACTTACATTTTTAAATGTATTTTGCTTTTTATATTTTGCTTTAAATATTTTGCTTTTTATTCAAAATTGTGTTGGAAAGTAACATTTGTGACAAATTTCCCACAAAATATTCAATTCTACCTGGCATCCACATCATCAGTGTCTATAGAGAGATTATGGCACAAGAGTTTCCCATATCCAAAGGAAGGTTTTGAAGTCAGAAATGTACAGGATTTCTGTGTGCTCACAGCACTAGTGATCTGTACACAACAATATTGTAGCTATTTGTGTAATCACAGATTCTGTCTATGAATTTAAGTATTTTGTACAGGACATGCCTTACTATTGGTATCACCTAAGAAGTGATATTGTGTTTCCCAAAATGTATGGTAATAATACATGTTCTCAGGATAGGCAATCCTCTGGTGTTATGGAGGACCACCCTTTAAGAAATTAATCATGTTAACTAAATCTAAGAAAGCTTAAAAGCTAGACAGTGGACACAACCTTCTACAGAATGACATAATGCATTGGGATTTTATCCAGTTTAAGTCTGTAACTTTTTTAAACAGTGGAGAAGCTCCAAAACCACAAAAGATGCAATACTGTGTTCTTATTTCTGCTGTCTAAGAGAAGAAGAAGCTGCATCAGACAAAAAGCTTAGTAAAAGCCATAAATAGAGTCCTATGTATTCAAAGAACACAACGATTTTAATCTGAGTAAATAGGCATAAGATTCTGCTTTTGATTTTTTTATATAGTTGCTCATAATATAACTGAAAAGTGTTTTTCTGATAAGTTTTTTTCTTCTCTCTCATACAATAAATAAAAATAAGCCACAATGTCTTACTTTCTCAGTTCTCCTCTATGTATTTCATTTTACTTTCTGACAGTGAAGAGAATATTGAACAGGAGAGAATAGTATAATTGACTTCATTCTGTTTTGCTTTGAAGAACCAGGTTGAAATTCTAAAACATAATGGTTTTCATCCAGACGCTGGCATGCTTATAGTCAATCGGACAAGTTAGCAATGATTAAGTTGAATTCCATTCATTTTAATGGGTCTACTCCAAGTCTGGATCCAAACCAATATTTGTTAAGGAAGAAGGATCAGATGGAAAATACATCCAGCCTGGGAAAGTTGAGGAAAGCCTCAATGAATCTTAAATTCAGAATTCTATGGATCTAACCTGTGGATTTCCCATCAGACCAGCTTTTATTGAGTCATGCAGTTCCTGTGGATGTGTGAGCAACTTTCAGGGAATTTCTGTATACTTGCATTTGCACTAATGCAGACTTGTGCTAATGGACATTAACAGAAATGTGATGAGATTCTTGTATATCCCTAAGAAATATCCGGTTCTGTCAATGAACAGACAATGCAACAATGATTCCTGCCAATCCTCAAAAGACAGACAAAATCTACATCCTGAATCCAGCCTCTTCCATTTCAAATTTGCTGTTTGGAACTACTACTGTTTTTCTGATACATACTATGTCTGGACAGCTCTAGCTACCTCAGCTGGACAAGTGGGTTTACTGAAATGGAAGCAGAAGAAACTGTAGCAGTAATTTTCCAGTGGTGGCAGCAAATAATAATGTGGTGCTGAGTTTCATTGGTTGCTCTTCTTTTGATTAAAGTTTGCATAAATATTTCCATTATGCTGATATGCCTGATGTGTTACCAGTGTTTCCATCTGATCTAACATGTCCCAAGCAGCATCTCTCATGTGTCGATGCAACTGTTGGATAGAAAGATATGGAATGAAATGAGATAAAATAATGTGCACAGTTTATAATCTTAATAATTCTTATTGGCTAAACGTTTTAGAAAACAGATACAAAGCAGCCTTATGTGCTGAATGAATTAGATGGTTGCTGCTCATATTTTTCCATATGACTTTACTGCCCAAGGAGTTTATATAAAGGAAATAGCTGTTGTAGCTAAATAACAGAAGTACTAGATCACAGCCAATGATATAGCATCTAATTACCAAAGCTTTCTACATCCCTTAAATGATTTTGCAGGATTAAAAAAGAGCATTCTAGTCTGAAATATAAATAACTAATTGTGTGTTAGATGGTTAAGTTCTGGACAATCCACAGTGTTGGAAAGAATATAAGTATGAGATCTCATTCTTGAAAGAGAAACTGATACTTTTTCAGACTTTATATTCAGAAATATTTATTTTTATTTATGTAGCGTTCATAAAAGCTCTTATTTGTCACTATTCATTTTTTATGTCTATTTGCTATTTTATGAGTTTACCTAGGAGCATATAGTCAGTATCAAGACATTTTTCATTAATTTAAGATAATTGTCTAAATCTTTAACAAGCTAATTACCTTTTTGTTCCGGTAATTATGTAGCTCAGTGGTAGAGCAGATGCTGCACATGTATGAGGGCCTGGATTCTCTCCTTGGTATCTTTTGGTGGCTAGCAAGTCTCACCAGGAATGCTCCAGCTTGCATTTCTTTCCAAACTAAAATTCCTTTTGCAAATCATCTTTTTATCCTGCCTACACAGCTATACATCAGACCTGCATGTTGAATTTCCTTTGCTAAGCTGGAAAGTGCAGGCAGATGAGTGACCACATGTGGAAGTGGGGCATGGGCTTGAACTTCATGGCCTTATAGGCCTCTTCCAACTCTGCTTCTATGCTGTGCTATGCCATGCCATAAATTGTATGTATTGTTTTTATCTTGACACAAACGTTTATTATGGAAGAACCAAATGAGAGAGAAGAAGGGACTAGATTGCCCCCAGGAATTATCAGGCAACACAAAAACAAGTGCTGTTCTAGCTAGAGCTTAATGAATAAAAGGATATCCTCTAAGACTTGCATAATCTTGCATTTTCAGGTTTGAAGTAGAGCTTAGCTATGAAAGGCAGAACTGAGCTGATCTAAGGTGTACAATAATGAACAGATGGAGAGATGGAGAGAAAGTTTAAGCTAAGAATCCAAGACATCAACAGTGACTAAGCTTTATCTTTCTCTACTACTCTATAATATTTATGAATGGTGAAATTTTCAGTACAGTTGGTATCAATGTTAAACTAAATATTGGACCATCTTTAACTTGAAAACATTTCTGGTGTCCCTGTAACCTTTTAAAATATTTCTTTTTAATCTTCCATAATACAGGTGGTCTTCTACTTCTATAATCATAGTTTGCAGCATGACTTTTAAGAATAGTAATTTCAGTATAGGATGAGGAAACTGGGGTGTAGTGGTTTCAGGTCTGCTGGAATGTAAACAATGAGAAAGAGAGCACTGGGGATATGTACGAATTGTCTGGCTCTGTTTCCCAGACCACCTAGAGAATATTCAGAACTCCTGGGATGCAATCCTATGCATATTGAGACAGAACAAAGCCCTACAAATACCATCATTATATGCAGGGAGTTGTATGGCATTTTTTAGTCCAAGCAGAAGTACTGGTAGTACCAGGATTCCTACTTCTGGAAGTACCATAGGAAGTCATTTCTTTGAAAAAGGGGAAAAAAAGAATGTACCAGAGGACATATCCTACTTCCTCTGTAAGTCCAGCAGATATTGACTTTTTTATTAAGGAGCTCTTCAGGATTCGGAATACAAGAAAACTATTAATATGTACAGGACCAATGTAACAGGATAAGAAAATAACAAGCCTCTTTTATTTTATCATACCCACCTAAATAATCCAGAAGCCATAAAGCCATGGTTGGGCAACTTATGGCCCTCCAGATTTTATCTATGTTGGCTGGGCTGATGGGAGTTGTAAATCATTCCTGCATTAGACTTTCATTAGATATGGTTTGCTGGCACATTATTTCACTCAATCCTTCTGGTGAATACTTTTGAAACTATTTTATAACCAGTGAGGGCTTCAAAAGAGGGAAAAAAATAGATTCAGGTTTCCAAACAGGTTCAAGAGTGACGTAATATCAAAATTCAGTACTCTTGTTAAAATGAAAATATGTGCAATGCCCATTTTGCACACTTGTGAAGTGCATGTTTTATATTTTCACTTCTGTTTTCTTTTCTTCCAGAAATAAGGAATGGAAATTTGAAAGCCATTTTAGGGCTCTTTTTCAGTTTGTCTCGTTATAAACAGCAGCAACACCAACAGCAACAGTACTATCAGTCCTTGGTAGAGCTCCAGCAGCACGTCTCTCATTCTCCACCTCCCACTGAGATTGGCCAGCCCAAAACACAGCAAGATATGCAGTCCAGGTAGGTTGCACCATTTCCTTAGGTAAAATCTGGACATGAATTCCTTCCATTATTCAAGAAATATGTTCAATAACATCAAAGTGAAAACTTCAGGCACAGTCCTAAGTGCATGTAAATTCATCATGTGGAAGTAAGCTTAAATTCAATTGGCCCTAATCCCATATAAGTGTGCGTAGTACCATACTCTTCAACTACACTTATTCAAACAGTTACTTTATATTACCAGCTATATCTTAAGTCTATAGCTGGTTGTCACTGATTTATGCCAGCAATCAGCCATGAAATGGAATAATGTCACTAACGGTTGGATAGAATTCTTGCAATATTTCAGGAGAGTGGGGACTCATTGTAGGGAAACCAAGCTGTGAGATTAGCTAAAGAAGAAAGAAGAGTAATACCTGCTTTTATGTTTACTGTATGAGCATTACAAGATAGATTGTATTCTTTCCTTCATAAACACTTGGGCAGGCTGGTTGGCTGGCTGGCTGGCTGGCCCTCTCCCTCTCCCACCATTTAACCCCCTACTGTGGTTGGAGAGACTTTATCAGGATCTTGGGGGAGGTAAGTGTCAAACCTCACCTTCCTCTGTGACTCTTTCTTTGCATAGGAAGGCTTTTCTTTCCCTGCTCAGAGGAGAGATGTGGCTGGGGTAACCCACTGTATTAAGAAAGAAATGGAGGTGTGCAGTTCGCTAGGTTTGCAAAAGACACTCCAGCTCTCTATCTTGTATGCTAATATTATACTTGAGAGAGTGCAGCAGGCAACAGTGGCAAGAAAGTCCATGATTGACCCCGGGGGAACAGACACACAGTGAGTGAGGTAAACAGAGAGAAATGTGGGAAATGTAGGGCACAGGGAAGACCACTATGAGCTTTGGGTTGCCACATGCGTGTGACATAAAATAAGGTGACTATGGTATGGAAAGCAGAACCAAGAAGTAGTCAATGATATTACCATGCGAATTCGTTGAACCCAGTGATTTCACTGAAAAGAAAGTATCTTTAAAAATATGGCCAAATATACCTTCCTGAATAATACTTAATGATGTACTGAACACTGTTTTTTGTTTTCACCTAAATGTAGCCATATAGCTATTATTTGACTGAATATGGTTGAAGGTTGATAGATGATAACCGAGAATTCTGGTTTGGTAAATGACTGCTAAATTATGGTTCCTACTGGGTCAAGAAATCAGATCTGGGCTAGGTATAAGTGGGGTTTATAATCTGGATAGGGCCCGGGCAAGGAGTTGAGGAACAGAATGCCACAAGGTCAAAGCAGTAAGGCTAACAATAATCCCAAAGAGAGACCTATTTGAAGGTCATATTCATTCAAGACAGATGGAAACTGGTGCATGGAGGTGGTGGACAAAGGAGCTAGGCCGCAAGTGGAATAGAATGCATCAGCAGAAAGCAGTGCTGTGCAGGCAAAACCAAGCTAGTGGTTCCCCAGGCAGAGATCAAAGCATGACTTGGGAATGTTTACAGCCAGGTCAGACCAGGGAGTGTGATTGCACTTCCTGGAGTGGGAGCCATGTTTGGCCCTGACAATTGAGAATGCTCTCTCTTTCTTCTTCACCCTGTGACCAGTATAATAATCAAATTGGCAGTGAGTAACTTTTGCAATGTGTGGAATTATTCAGAGATTGATATAGAAAAGAAAGCACTATTTGGTTGTTGCCTAACTATAAAAGTCATTGAATAAGAGTGAAAGGAAATAGCACATTCAAAAGCAAAACAAACAAACAAACAAAAAAACAAACATATAGGCAGCTCAGACTTTCCACAATAAGTGCAGATCACACATTATTTAACTGAATTGCTCAAGCAGAATTCTGTTGACATGAATTGGACCTATTAGTAACTAATGTAGAATTAGATGATCAAGCTTTTGACAAAGAATGAATTTTAATATAATTCATGATCACAACAAAACGGCACATCCTTGACATACATACCTAATGTATGTGTTGCTTTGTTCAGCTCCTCTTTGTGCTTTCAATGGACAAGAAATCAAAGAGTTTTTCTTACTACTTCCCCCACAGTGGTTGAGAATAACCTTTTGAAACCCAACCCATAGGTCAGCGATATTCAGCACACTTCCCAATGAAGTACAAAGTCAAATGCAAAATTGCTTTGATCTAGATCATAATGTAGGGACCATATTTTGTGCATAACTTTCACTCAGAAATGCATTACAGTATGGAAATGTGATGGAAATTAGACACCTATTTTCTGGTAGTCTTAGCTAGTCTAGTATTATTTATTTATGCAAAAGTTAGTGACATGTGATCCATACAGGCATGCTACAAAGCTTGTTGGGTTCTGGATAATGGCTTTGGGAGCTTATAATACTAGCATCAAAAGAAAAAATTAATCATTATGAGGGTAGTGAAATATTTAATTAAAATTTCAAATTTACCCATTCCTGCAGTCACTTAAAGTCATCTCTTCTTCCCTTTAACCAACATTCACCAACAGGGCCAGCAAAAGCAGTGCTCTGGATACAGTAGGAGGGATGTAAGTGAGACACTCCCAAGAAGGGAGGTGTCTTATTTTCTCCTCTGGTTGGTGCCTGGTGCTGGGTGCACTTCATAGTCCCCTGTGGCCCTTGCAAGAGGGAGCTTCCCCACAGGCTTTGAACATTGGCTTGGGAGAGTTATATTTCTCATTGGTCAATGTGTTCTATACAGCATTCCATTGTGAGGGAATTGTCCATTGACCTGAGTGACATTGGCCTAAATGTCCCACCAGAACATATGTTTTGTATGGAAGGATAAGGAGGATCATGGATAACTGGGAACCGAGAGGTGTAGGTACAGTGATCATAGGTGGCAGGTTAGAGATAAGATAGATTCAAACTTACCTGGTTTCTAGACCCAGCACCTCTTGGATCCTTCCAAGGTGCTGTCCTGTCCCTGTCTCCCTGAGAAACCTATCTTATCAAAAACCCTAGTAAATACCCAACCCATAGAAGGACCCCATAACTCAGACCTCAATGGTGCCAAGCAATGGTAAGCATGAATCATGACAGAGGCACAGCAGAATAGTCAGGAACAGTCTAGTTAGACCTGAACAACAAGAATGTCTGAAAAGTATAATAGTTTAGCAAGTTCCATCTTTGCTGGTGATGGCATTTCTTTGTTGACTGACTTCAGGTTGAATATTTTGTAACCTTCTTTCCTTAGCTATTTATTTATTATTTATTTATTTAGGAGACTTCTATGCCGCCCCATTCGCCAAAGCCTCGGGGCAGCTCACAACCATAAATAAACTTCAAAATAGAATACAATGAATAAATAATATTAACAATTAAAATAACATTTGAATAAAAAGGTCTTCTCCTGGCGCCAAAAAACAAATAACGATGGAGCCAGGCAGACCTCTCTGGGGAGCGCATTCTATAGATTACAGATTAAAAATACCATTTGAAATTAACCATGAGATAATTACAGATTGCAATTATGACCTTAAACATGTTCAGTTTGAAAAAATAGGTTTATGGTTGTTGTCCTGATTTTGCATAAGGATAATTAATGCCTATGCATTTTCTTACATTTTTAATTGTTTGTTTAAAAACCTTATAAATACTCTTCAATCTGGCATCATGAGCTCACCTGCAGAGCTCTTATTGTGAAGATATTGAACTGAATGGTCAGCCCTTGGACCACTTTGCTACCAGGTGTTCCTGGGGTTGCTGCTATTAAGCATTTTGGCTGTACCAGGATGTGGACAACAATGCATTCACTAGAACCAGTATGGCATATATTAATGAACAGCAGGAGTTGAAAGACGCATGCATAACCTGTTGCTTTGAGAAAACTCAAGTGATGCCAAGAACAAGACGACCATTAAGGGCAAAATGTTAACTCTATATTGTGGGCATGTTAGGGGATGCTAATTAAATTGTTTCTTTATCACTGTAACATGGATAATTTGTCTTAATTTGTATTGGAATGTACAAATATAGTATTCATACTAAACTTTGCCTTATTGAAAATAGATTCTATTTCGGTTAAATTAAGAATCATTGCCAAGTCTAAGATGTATTTTTCTCCTAAAGGTCAAATGATCAATAAGATTCTTTATATGGCTTCAACTGCTTTTCTGAATCGAGTAAAGGAATTTAATTTAATAATGTTAACTGGAAGGGTGCATGGTAAAAACATTGTTCACATTCATCTTAATTTACTGGGAAGTGAGGTGGAACTATTGAGCCATTCCTTGTGCTTCAATAAAACAGAGTGAACATGTATCCTGGCACGGTCGTTATGTTTCTGTATGAGGGAGTGTAGATCGTAAAAGCATTAATCAGGGTAATTACCTTTTGCTGGACTCTTGGTCAGTGTAGGTTATTGTAGAGGTTGACGAGCATATGGCAAGCTCTCTGCTGAGAACACTGCACTCTTTTCCAAAGGCAATGTCTTCACTAGACAAAAGGATAACTTTCTCTCATGCTCATGCTAGCTTGAGTGCTAAAACAGAGAGGGTGCTTTAGAATATAAGAAAAGCTAGGCTGGGTCAGGCCAAGGTCTAGCTAGTCCAGCATTCTGTCGCACTGTGGCTAACCAGCTGCCCATGAGAAACTCAAACAGGTCATGAGTACCCTGAATTATTAACTTTTCCTGAGTACTGTGAGAAAGAAGTTTAGTTTTGTCCAGATGCATGTGGAAGTCATAGATCTTATCATTAAAAGTGTGTTTGGGGAAAAAGTCACAGTGCAGCAATACAGCAGGAGTAAGGTTGGATTAGTAGGAGAGCATTTTCAAAGTGACTGTGAAATGACTTGGGTTTTTTTCAAATCACTTGCATGTTATGGGTTACCATGATAGTTTACACAAGATGCAAACTGGCAGATTTAAGGATTGCGTTGCCTCTTCATGCTTCTTACAGTGGATAAGAGCTCTTCTACTACTATGCTTCTCCGCAGTGACTTAAAAGAGATGCTGACAACCAAGCTGTACATTGTGTTGGAGACATGGCACACAGTTATGTCTGGTT